CTTCACCTTTTCTCCAAGTGCTTTGAAATCATTGACAAGCACTTGAAGCCTATGGAACATCTCTAGCACATTCTCATTCTCCTTCATCTTGAAGCTTGCAAACTTCTCTTTGAGAATGTATGCCTTTGCACCCTTCACGGCTTGAGTGCCCTCAAATGATTCTTCCAACTTCTTCCAAGCCTCATGAGTCATCTCAATATTCTTGATTTGCTCAAATATTCTCTCATCAATTACATCATGAATGGTACTTAGAGCAATGTCATTGTTTTGGAGAAGCACTTCTTCAGTCGTGGTAGGATTCTCCAGATCTTTAATCTCAATTTTAGTTTTTACCACCTTCCACACCTTTCTATTGATTGACTTGATATGTGTGGTTATCTTTAACTTCCAATAAGGATAATTTGTGTCATCAAATTGGGGTGGCTTCTTGGTGTTGTTGATTTGAGTCATTTTTACACCGAAGGTTGTTAAGCCTCAAATCACGATGACCTCGACTCTGATACCACTTGAAAGGTCCTAATGGCTAGAGGGAGGGGGGGTGAATAGCCTAATAAATTTTTTTACAACAACACTTAGCAAACTGGTTAGACAATTATGAGGCGAAGCAAGTGTTGCACTAGCCTATCAAAAATATAAGTCACCTACCACATTTCTAGTTGATATAGTTTCTATCCACACAATAGCTATGTCACTACACTAAGTTAGTGTGCTCTCAAAGGCTAACTAAAGAGCCACACTAACCAAACTAACAAGCTCTCACAACTAGCTACACTAAAGAGCTTGACAACTAGTTTACGATAATGTAAAGAGAGTGAGCAATTTGTTTATACTGCCGTATCGAGGAAGGAGCCAATCAATCATAAAAATGAATACCAATGAAGACCAATCACCTTGGAATCAAATGATGAACACAGTGATTTTTTTACCGAGGTTCACTTGCTTGTCGGCAAGCTACTCCTCGGTTTGGCGATTCACTCACTTGGAGGTTCACACGCTAATTGGCATCACACGTCAAACCCTCAATAGGGTGCAGCACAACTAATACAAGATGAGGATCACACAAGCCACGAGCAATCCACTAGAGTACCTTTTGACTCTCCACCGGGGAAAGGTCAAGAACCCCTCACAATCACCACGATCGGAGCTGGAGGCAATCACCGCTCTCCACTCGACGATCCTCGCTGCTCCAAGCCGTCTAGGTGGCGGCAACCACCAAGAGTAATAAGGGAATTCCGCAGCGAAACACGAACACCAAGTGCCTCTAGATGCAAACACTCAAGCAATGCACTTGGAATCACTCCCAATTTCACAAAGATGATGAATCAATGATGGAGATGAGTGGGAGGGCTTTGGCTAAGCTCACAAGGTTGCTATGTCAATGCAAATGGCTAAGAGAATGAGCTTGAGTCGGCCATGGGGCTTAAATAGAAGCCCCCACGAAATAGAGCCGTTGAACCCTTTTACTGGGCACAACATGGGGTGACCAGACGCTTTGGTCATATTGATCGGACGCTGGACCTCAGCGTCCGGTCACGCGATGCGTGCCACATGTCCCGTCTCTTCAAATGTTGATCGCCCGATCTCAACGGTCAAGTGACGACCGGACGCAGCAGCTCAAAGTGACCGGACGCTGAACCCCAGCGTCCGGTCGTTTTCAGTAAGCATCCAGAGACGATTTTTCACGACCGAACGCACCCGGTCATGCTCGACCGGACTCACCCAGCGTCTGGTCACACGGTGACTCCCCTGTGCGCTGTCACGTCAGCAGGACTGGACGTACCCCTCCAGCGTCCGGTCAGAGATCGATGCCAGCGTCTTTGCAGCTTCTACTGACCGAACGCGTCGGTCCAACCGAGGCCAGCGTCCGGTCACTTTCAGTGACCTCCGTCTTTTATGTTTAGGGCGCCGGTGGCACCGTCGGACTGTCCGCACTCTACGGACGGACACTCCACCGGTGAAGTTTCCTACCCTTGCTCTAATGTGCCAACCACCAAGTGTATCACCTTGTGCACATGTGTTAGCATATTTTTACAAATATTTTCAAGGGTATTTGCACTCCACTAGATCCTAAATGCATATGCAATGAGTTAGAGCATCTAGTGTCACTTTGATAACCGTATTCCGATATGAGTTTCACCTCTCTTAATAGTACAGCTAACGATCCTAAATGTGATCACACTCACTAAGTGTCTCGATCACCAAAACAAAATGGCTCCTACCATTTATACCTTTGCCTTGAGCCTTTTATTTTTCTCTTTCTTCTTTTCAAGTCCAAGTACTTGATTATCACCATGGCATCACCATCATCATGTCATGGTCTTCATTTGCTTCATCACTTGAAATGTGCTACCTATCTCATGATCACTTGATAAACTAGGTTTTCATTTAGGGTTTCATCAATTCACCAAAACCAAACTAGAGCTTTCATCCGCTCACACCGCGCCGCATGCGGATGCGACCCACGCTGACGCATGCGGCTTCTATTTGACTATGCAGCTTTGCTTGCTCTACTCGCTCCGTCTAGAAAAGAATGCACGGGAAGTGTGCCAGTCAAATTAGTTTAAGTTTGACTGAGTTTATATAAAATAATATTAACATTTAAATCTGTAAACAAATATATTATGAAAATATATTCTATAACTAATATGATGATATTTATTTTGTTTCATGAGTGTCAATACTTTTTTATATAATTCTAGTCAAAGTTTGAATTATTTGACTCCTTAGGATATGAGAATTGTATTGTTTCATGGACGGAGGGAGTACTTGATTTTGGATGAGCCAAGACAAGCAAGCATGAAGATAATATGCTCTGTTTTCTTTCTTTTTTTCCTGTTGTAACTGACATATCCCAAAACAAATATCTAAAACGCATCTGGTCTTCAGATGGATATGGAAATTTTCCTGCCAATATAAGCATAAGGTATTCTTTTAGCTCCTAGCACAGGACAGACTCAGCACGAGGAACTTACTGAGAAGAAAGAGTATGCATCTGGAATCCTTTGATTGTGTTCTTTGTGATTGTTTGGTAGAAGAGGTAGTGGACCATTTATTCCCTGCACTGTGATTTTGCAAAAGCCTGCTGGAACTTGGTTGGTTTAACTGTCCCCTAGGACTAAGGACCATTCCAGATCCTGGAGTCTTTCAGAGCTCAGCTCAACGTCTCCTTCTTTACGGAAATAATCATCATTATGTGATGGAGCATTTGGACAGTGAGAAATGGTTTAATCTTCAGGGGCGAGGAAGCAACCATTCAGAAATGCAGGCATGTCTTCAAGAACGTCTTCGGCTTAGTTATCCTTCGCGCCAAGAAAAAATATCTACCTCTTATTAGTACATGGCTAGATCAATTTGTGTAATTGAGCTCATCTTCTTTACTTCCTTTTTTGTCTTTTGAACTCCCTGTTTGTAAGCCTAGACTTTTTGCTTGTACTTTTTGTTTCCTGGTTTTTTTAATAAATTCAGTAGGGGCACAAGCCCCTCGTGTTTCTTAAAAAAAAAACAAATATCTAAAACTTGTTGAGTTTTGCACTGATTGAATTGTATAATTATGTGTCAAAATTGCTAAATTACTGATCTGAAAATAGGGGTAAAAATACAAATATCAAAATAAAGAATGGGTAAAAACGCATGAGCAAAGTTATCCTTTGGTTCTAAAGTTAACACCGTTAGAGAGACTTCACAGAGCAGAGGTAAAATCTGCCTTCGTTTTGAAATTTCTAGATAAAATCATAAAGTTAAAAAAACGAAGACAAAATCACTATTTCAATTAAAAACAGAGCCCTCGTATAATTGAAATATATGTATACTATCGGTGTCGACGCGGCCGGCAACTTTGAATAGTCTAACAAACAAAATGCCAATCATTTAAGGAGCAGAAAGGACAAAGGAGCAAGACTTGACCTACAAAAGAAAAAAAAGAAGAAGCGAGGCATAGAAACAATGGAAGTCGGAAGAGCTCCCTGGCACTGACATGAGAGAGCTCCTTCATTCTAATGAGTGCTTCTCTCCCAAGTCCCAGTCAGAGTCGTCTACCTCCCCTCCGGCCTTATCAGTGAGCTCCAGCAAGCATCGCAGCCGGCAGGTGCGTCCTTGGCTTCTGCTTGCACTATCGAGTATGCTTAAATAGAGATCTATTATGGATCTGACCTCTGGGGTGAATAAGTTCATGTATTAATCATAGTTTGCTAGTTTCATTCCCTTTCCACTCGGATGTGTATTGGATTACTATGTTGTCTCTCGTCTGAAGCCCTGCCCATTTGTACATTTCCAATCTTATTATTTGCTCAAAACATTTGTGAGGCAATGTTTAATTTGTGAGGTTACTGGATTTTCTTTTCCATTCGATTTGCATCTATTATTGGTGTGGTGGATCCAGTGTATAGTTTGTAAGAAAAGAGTTGATGAAAGTTTGTTAGTTTGTAACTGGTTTGATCCAATTCACAAATTCATTCTTAAACTAAACAAGGACAATTCGTATCTTAGTTATATCAAAACCAGGCCAGAGGAGCCCAAATGCCTAACCCCGTATAATAAATCAATGAACGAATCTGAAAATAACTACCGGATCTAATTCTGTACATAACTTGCATATTAGTTCTGGCACTGGCACTTGTTAGTTTTAGTGCGGCACCCATTGTAGTCAATTTTCTTGTATCAATTCTCTTGTTCTTCCTTGAGAAATACTTTGGGTAGAAATAAGACTTTGCTCTACCTTCGTGCTCGGCAAAATTGTGGATTATTAACATTTTTATTTTTGGAAACTTTCTTATTTCCAATTTCGCAGCAAAGAAATGCCAGTTAACAAGTTCTGAACAGGAGATCAATGGAAGCTGTGGTGTTGACCGCGTTAATAAAAACTCTTGTCCCTAGGTTGTTATCGCTATGGGACAAGGCCAACAAGAAGTACGAGGCCTTCCAAGATGATGCTACTTTCCTAGGGAGGGAGCTTCCCATGATCACTAGTGCCATAGAAGGGCAGCTCTCGGGGCAGGACGACCATGTACTGCGTTTGTCGGTTGAAGAATTACGACGCTCATGATATGGAGGACTGCATTGATCGCATCACATACCTTGCTTCTTGGAAACAGCAATTGCCGCGGTACCATATACGTAAACCTATCAAGAAGAAAAAATCATTTACAGAGTTGGGCAAGCAGATGGGGCGATTAAGGAAGCAATTGGAGGAGGCACACCAGCGGAAAGAGAGATATTATGTGTCCCGTCCTGCACTGCCTTTGTCGTCCTCGGAGTATTACGTCCCTCCTGAAGATCTGGTTGGCCTCCAGGTGCCCCTGGAGGAGCTAAAAAATCACTTGTCCGAACAAGAAGAGCTGAAGCAGTTGAAGGTAATCACCATAGTTGGCTTCTGTGGATCGGGGAAGACTGTTCTTGCCCAAGAGTTGTACAACAGCGAGGTCGGCACCAAATTCGACAGCAAGGAAGGCACGAAATCCAAGATACAAACATGGGTCTCAGCTGAGCGCAAGCATCCCATGAAGCTCTTAGAGGAGATGCACCAGAATCTTGAGATTCCGTCGCCACTAACATCAAATGGCCGCCAGCTTACCAAGGATAAAAAAGACCACCTTAACAACAACAGGTATGAAATTTGTCTAATTATCTGTTTGATTCAAGAATTTTATAATTTGTAGTACTTTCTCCATCCTAATCTGATGTCTAGCGAAATATATGCTAATTTGGATAGTGTAGTGTGCAATTTACTAATTTACCATTGGCATTGACTTCGGTGAGGGAAACAAAACAATACCCTGTTTCCTGGAAAATTTACAACATACAATATATTCACATATATTATTAGAAAGACACATAATTTATCTACATCTCTGAAGTTTGTTTTCAAAGTTGTATTGGTAATGTAGAAATAGAAATGGCACTTTCACTTCAAGTACCGCATCTTGCAATAATATTTATTTCCTATCCATCACAGTATAACACTCTTGTGGCATGAGCCAAGAAAGTCTTTAAAATGTGTAAGCCAGTGGCCAGAAACTCTTTCCATGTATAATCCAACAACAGTAAATATCACAAAATTTTCTTAACATCATTCACAAATAAATAAATAATTTAAATATAATGCATAGAAGAGACAAGTGGCCTCTGCATCTGAACACTCATGCAACATATCCTATCATATAGGAGCCGACCTGCATGCCTGTCAGGATGATGGTTGGTTTTCAACAAAATAGTCGGCTCATAGAAAGGTCCTAACAGAAATCAGAAGGGCAAATTCTCTATTGGTTCAAACTTTTCTATTGTCTACTCCTTATGAGGTTTACGAGTATGAGTCAAGGAAAAGTACAAATTAATTAGTCACTAAAGTAGACAGTTTTCTGGCATTTTAGACACACTCAACAATTACAGAACCTGATTGTGAAACCTAGTTAATTAAAACCATGCAGTAATTTATTAAATTCTTCTCGAACTTGCAGAGGAGTCGTGAATCTTTGCATTATTAATAGAGAAACAATCAACACATCCATACACAACATTGTGTAAAAATTACATTAGTGCCTATTTACAAACTTACGAAACGACACAACCTAGCTAGTTTAGCTACTAGAACTACTACGGGTAGTGAGAAGGAGGCTCTCGCCAGCATATATGCAAAGACTCCTCTTGAGCGACCAGCAAGGTCTTTTACAATGTTTGAGAAGAGAAGCTCTTCTCTAAGAAGCTGCACAACTAGAGTAAAAACAAATAAGCATGTCTGATCTGTTGGCCCTCGATCTCCCTGCACAGGTAAGCAGCAAGCTTACCAGCAGTCCAGCCAATGTTCAAGAAAACGCTAGGCGCTAGCCTACTGACTAGCGCCTAGGAGGATTAAACGTAGATTAAACGTGATTAATCGTTTGTGTGTGTTTTTTTATTTTTGTGCTGCTGAGAGCAAGATTAGTAGTAAGTACTAAGTAATAACACTGCTAAGTAGTGAACATACCTCTTGCTGTTGCTGCACACTTGTTGGCTTCTTTTCTCCTTGGCTTCTTGCATCCAATAGCAGCTAACCATTAAAGAGAGACAAGTTAATAATCTGAAAACCAGACAATCAAATAATAGGGAAAGAGTAGAAACTTATCTACGAGGGGTAGCTCAATATTGTACATGCACAGCCAAGCTTCCAAACATCAGGGCAGCAGCACAAGGCAAAAGATCACGAGAAAATATACAGACAACACTAGCAGTTCATCACGTGTCTTAATGGTCCAGAAATTAAATAGTAGTACAACACACAATAATGGTCTTATGGTCCACACACAAATTAAAGATAAGTAGATAACTAGATATTAATATTTAGATAACTTGGCAGCATGCTGCCATCATGCAAGTCCTCACTCCGCCAATGTAAAGGAGTTTAGAATTGCTTCTTCATCCTCATCATCATCAAAGGCAATGTCATCATCCTGATAATCAGGATCTTCAAATTCAGACTCCCACTCTTCTTCATGCACCTCTCTAGCCACTCTTGCACTCCTCCTAGGTTGAAGCTGTTCATTAGTTCCCATTGCTTCTCCAAGAACACTCCATGGTATCCCTGTCCCCGGCATTTCTCCCTCATCTTCCTCATCCCTAAAGACAACCAATGCATGATCATCCCCTCCCTCAAAGAAAAATCCTTGAGCTTCAGAAGCATCACTACTTAGGAGCACTTCATAGTTACTCTTTCTGGCAATCTTCTCCTTCTTGGACATCAACTTATTATTGAATTGGATGAATACTAGAGAGTTGAGGCGCTCTGTTGTCAGCCTATTCCTTCTCTTTGTATGATGCTAAAACAAAAAACCAGCACATGTACATTAAATTGGGACTAGAGAACAATTAGTAGAGACTAGAAACTGACCTGTTCAAAGGTGCTCCAATTCCTTTCACATCCAGAAGAGCTAGAGGTCAGTGAGAGGATTCTAATAGCCATTCTTTGCAAATCTGGTGCTCCTCCATAAAGCCTCCACCAAGATGCTATAAAATGAAGTGAAATGTATCAAACATGTGCAAAATTGATTGCAAAAAAATCTGGACAGAATTGATTGCAGAAAAAAATCTGGACAGAATGATGCAAAAGCTTACCTGGATTGAACTCAAAGCGTTCACAGCTCCTTGCCATCTTCTTTGAGAAGGATCCATGTCTCTTTTGGAATTTTTCCAAGTCCTCATTAACAGCCCTATATTCCTTATCATCCTCACCATGATAAAAGGTCTCCACACATAGCATGAATTTTTCCCCTACAATTGAATCGAGAAGATTGCTAGATTGTCAGTAACTATAGTATGGATTCAGCATATATGCAGCCACATGCAATGGAGAATCAAGCCTATCTTTCATCTTCTTGTCAACAATAGCCATCACTTCTCTGTAGTTCTTTTCCACATTTCCAAAGGCCTCCTTGATCTCCCTCTTTGCCTTGAGAAGTTCTCCATACACATAACCCATAGATGGTTTCACATCCCCATCAACCAAACGTAGAACTTTCACCAAGGGCTCAAAGACCTTCAAACAAAGGGACACATCTTTCCAAAAACGAATGTTCAACACCGTAATCAGTAGCATCCTTGCCCTTCTTGGTCTTCTTTGCTGCTTCATCAAGATTCTTTTTCTTTGTAGCATCATGTTGTCGCTTATCTTTCTTCTTCTTTGCTGTTTCATCAAGATTCTTCTTGCACTTCTCGCTTAATTTCCTCACTTACTTTTGGGCACTTCACAATAGATGTGCCAACATGAGCAAGATGCTGCTTAAGACGATAAATTCATGCAGTGCTCTCTTGTCCACAAAGAAGACACTTGACTCTGTTCTTGTCATTGGGATCACAGAGACGCCCCCACTCCCAGCCTATATAGATGACTTCCTCTTCAGGTGGTAGGCAACCTCGGCGGCTTCTGGAGCCGCTGCCGCAGTCCCAGCAGCAGCAGCAGCTGCAGCTTCGGACGTCGACATCCTAACCCTAAATCCCCAATCCAATTCATCGATTGAGTGATTCACATGCATAAATCAAAACTACAGACCATGGGAAGATGGGGGGAGACCGTGGGAGCACCTGGAGAGAAGGACCGAGGGGCTTTGCCGGCGGCGACGACCCCTACGTCTGCAACGGCCTATGCGAAGTTGACTCCTGCGCCTGCGGCCTGCCCTCTGTTGCAGGCGACGACCCCGTCAGGCGGAGGGGACGGCAACGTCCCGTTGCAGGCGGAGGGGCGCGGGTCGGCGGTCGCCGTCGCGGCGTTGTCGCCTCGCCGGTCGGGTGGATGAAGCCGGCAGGGCACCCCGGCTAACTCGCTGTCTCGCTTCGTCCCTCGGTCCGACGCCAAGCAGGAGGAACTCCACGGCAGCGAGGATCGACGCGCGGGGAAGGAGTAGGCGTCGTTGGAGGGGAAACCTAGGAATCCAAGCGGAGGAGCGGCAGGGGGAGAGAGCAGAGTGGTGGTGCGGTGGGTGGAGGAATCGACCTTGTCGCTCGGTCGAACCGCATCGAGGCGGAGGGGAAGAAGGGCAGCTTCATGCGACTTTTTGCTCCCGCTGCCCGGGCCCGCTTTTTTTTCCGCAGCAGTGCGCTTTTTTTCCTGCTGCAGCGCAAGATTTTCCTCCACGCGCCAAGGCTTCCCTTTTCGCCACGAGTCACATGCGATTTCCGCGCCAGAGTAGCCCTGCTTTTTCTCCGATTCAGTAGCCATTTAATCTCGATCGATGTGTAGACGAAAGTGCCTAGGCACGCCCAAATGCCTCTAATTGAGCGCCTACCTCTAAACGAGACGCTGGGCCCCGCTTAGCGCTTAAACACGATTAATCGACGCTTAATGACGCTTTTATGAACCTTGAGTCCAAAGACACCCACACACACTCACTGGGCTGGAGGTTGAAGAAGAGGTGAGAATAGCACAAACACACACTACACACACACAACACCAACAGCAGCTCGGCTGCTTCTGAAAATGTGAATGGCTGAACTTCCATTGCCCTTTACGTGTAGTATATGTACAAACTACAAGTACCATATAAGGTACAAACTACTACTATGTCCTCTAGGACATGGCAGATAGCTCCTATGTCCTCTAGGATATGGCTGTTATCAGCCCACTACATGTACAATTTTTGACTAGATGGCTTACTGCCATTTGCTACAGTACTAGCAAGAGGACAGCAGGCTGACTAGCTGCCAGCCTTACTAGCCGCCAATCTTAATCAGCAGCAACCAAACAAAAGAGAGATTGGGGGAGCAGCAGATTATGTCTTACAATTCTTTCCTTAATCCTGCCGCTAACCCGATGCCTTGACCTCGACCATGCCAATCATCTTCCTCACTCAAGAACCGGCTAGGCGTCCGAAAGTGACTTGGTGAGGATGTCAGCCGAGTCAGCCGCCCGGTCTCGATTTAACTCGTTGACATTCTCATCCTCCATCAACACAAATCCCGAAGGAAATGGAACTTGAAGTCGATGTGCTTGCTCCGGTCATGGAGGAAAGGGTTCTTGGCGAGGGCGATGGCGGGGTGATTGTCCACCATCAATGCTAGCGGGCGAAGCTTCCTCGCCGTCACCGCCAAAGCAATGAAATTTGCGCACCTAAACCGCCTGGCATGCCGCGGTGGCCGCTGCAACATACTCCGCCTCACATGTTGACAACGCAACGACGATCATCGCTTCAAATGATCGCCAAGCAATCGGGGTC